ACTTTTTGGAAGCTGGAGCGTAGCGAAGGCGCTGAACTACATTCATTCGATTGGACAGCCAGTTGAGCAACATAATTAGGCAATACTCTACCTTAATTCCTTGAATTTAGCTTAAATTTTTAATTAAACCCTTAAATTTTTAATGAAGTAAATAAATTCTTAAATTTGTTAATCTAAATAACTTAACTATCTACGTTATGGTATATTTAATATTCATTTGTGATTTATTTATATAAATAATGTCAATACTCACTACATAAGTAATAACATATTAATAATAAACATTAAGTTTGTTGTAAAAAAATGAGTTAAACTAGATAAAATCCCAAAATTCACCTTGTAAATAGGTTGGTAGGGATAAATTCGCCCCTCAAAATAATGCAGGGGTAAATTACCTCTCCAAATTATAAATCAAAATGAATTACTTATTTTTTAATGAAAAATGTCAAAATTCTGTTTGTTACATCAACATTTTTTAACAAAAAATATTAAAAAATTGATGATTTATCTTAATTTATAATTTACGAGAGCAATTTATCTTGTATTTTTTTTAGGGGTGAATTTGTTTCTGTCGATTTATTTAAAGAGTGGATTTAGGGGTTCTGCCATTAAATTATCCATATTGTCAAATTTAAAAGTTTATTTGTTTTAATAAAAGTTTAAGAGCTTAATAAAAAATCTAAAATAAATTTGGGGGCTTAACATAGGATTTTACCTATAATATAACTCAGTATAGGTGGGCCTAATATTTTAAGTAGCACAGGTCCATGTAGAGTTGTAGATTTTCTCAACATCAAATTCAAAACTGAACTCATGAACAATTACCTCAAGACGGCCCAGTAATAGGAGGAGGAGGCCCCAGTACAGTGGGCATTGACCTTTAAAGTTAAAGGGTATATTTAGCTTGTTTAGCCACCCGCCCACTATGCTGCTTTCTGTTTGCGTACCCGGTGACAAGGTTCAAAAGGTAGGGTGGGCCTGTACTTTTTTGGAGAATTGAACATTTCATGGTCAAATCACACAAAGCAAAACAAAATTGAAAAACTTAATTGAAAAATTAAGAATGAAAAAAACTTTAAAATTGATTATTTTCGTTTATATAAAAAGAGTAGCAAAGAATATCTATCTCTTAGGAGAGGTGATTAGACCCATTTCTCATTCATCAATCTGATATAGAAAGGAATATCTCTATTGCCTAGCTTGCTGTGTTGTTTTTTTCTTTGGTTTGTTGCAAGCACTCGACAATGTAAATTTGTTTCTGTTAATAATACACATTGTTTCGGCCAAAACAAAAGACCTATAAATAAAGTTGAAAGTGATTTGTAATTTAAATCATATTGAATTTCAAAATATTAATTATAAAATTAAGTAAAAATCCTTTACTTTTGATATTAAAAAATAACTTTTTATTCAATAATTAATATTTTATAATGTAAATTGACTCAAATCTATTTCACTTTATAATTATACATTGAACCAAACATGAGTCCGATGTATAACCCACCCATAAAAAAATCAATCTGTTCCGAAGGTTTTCAAGAGAGATGACTCATCATGACTTAGCGTTTTGTCCTCAAATAAAACTATAAAAGCCTAACTTCCCAAACAAAGAAAGAACAGCCTAATGTCCCGAGCTCAAAAGGACCGCAAAAAAATGCACAAATTTTGGTTCTGTGCTTTGGTGTTTTTTATCTCAAAACCCAATCAGCATTCCACCAAAGCACATGCCCAAATTATGGCATATATGCAACTGAGTAGACTGGATTCTTTCCCATCATCATTATCATCATGATTACCATCAATTTCACATGTATTTAATCTTATTTTACTGCCAGGTGTCAAGGCTTGATAGGATCAATCTTGGGCACTTTTGTCTGCTCTTGACCCAGCCACGTGTCAGCACCCCACTTCAGTTCTTCACCTTTGATGATATTCCAAATGGGTCCTTGTCTGTGTTAAGACAAAGGCACATAGACTGGACATGATGTGGACACTCAAAAAAAGGAGGATGGTTGGTAGAACATGGGGTTCTTAATCTTTGGGAGACATAAGAGCAAGGGCGTCTTAATCTAACAGCATATAAAGTATCCACCATCTTTTCAAAGAGTTTGATTTTTCTTGTTTGGGTTTAAGAATATGATTTTGGTTTAACTCATCCAACCCACTCCTCCATATTTTTTCATCTCATCATCTTATTAACTTAAGGTAAGAATTATGTTCATGATTAAAGGCACTTGATTGTGGCTTTACGCATTAGAGAAGTATTATGTGCACTTTATGTAAGGTAGAGTGCATAAGCACTTCTCCTCTCATTTTTAATTTTTGTTTTATAATTAAAAAAAAAATTATACTCATACCAATCACAATAAGAATGGAACTAAGATTACTCCTATGCATTATCTTCTAATCAAATCTTAGTTCGATGGTAAGTCATAGGGTGTTTTTGTTCAACTGCATTGGTAGTATTGTTGATGATTGATAACATGATTATAGGTGACTTGGTAGAATTACATTGGCAAACGAATTACATTTGCAAACCTTTATGACCAAACTTAAAATTGTTAGAGTTTCACAAATTTTTATATATTCTCTTTTAAAATGGAGTTAAAATTCATTTACATACAAGTTTTTTATATCATATTTATTTAAAATTTTAATTTTTTATTTTTTTAATGATCAAGATTTATTTATTTATTTATTATATTTACTAAAAATAATTATATTTTTATTTAAAAATATTATGATAAATCTTAATTATTAAAAGTAAAAAGATAAATCATCAAAATTTTATCAATATGTAATATGTAACACTTGTTTATAAATAACTCCTTACACTTTAAAATATTAATTCAATTTAATTTAATTGTTAAAAATAAATAATAACTGTAACTGTTAATTAACATATGAAAAAACTATTAATTAGACTAGATTTGTCATAAAATTGGGAAGATTTTTTCCTCTCACTCTGCCTACATTATTTCATTGTTGGTGAATATATAATGTGAGACTTCAGTCTTGTTTTACGCCATGGACTTGATTGGCAAAAGTCAGTGGCATCTCATGCCAACAACTGTTTGGGATGAGATCACACTGCTTACTCTTCTTGCAGCAGCAAGGAAAACCCTAATCGTAGATAAGCTTAATTACACCGATTAATTGAACACTAACCCAATTTGGAAAGTGCGACAAAATGAATCATCTGGCATATCATGAATGTAGCCTACACTCCTTCTATCTTATACTAAGAAATTAATAGTTAGAGGCATGATCTATTCTGTTATATATACAAAGATAGCACCAAAAGAGCAAACGACTTCACCACTAGTTATTGCAAGAGTAAGACAACAAAGAGAGTTCCAAAGGATGGCAACGAAGGGAGAGGTGGAACCACTTAAGAACTGTATCTCATTTGGAACCCTTCCATTAAACAGGAGCTTCAGCTTAAGTAGCTGTCGATGTTGAAGCCGAAACTACAAGATCTGTTGTAGATGCAGGAGCTTGTCTCCTTGCTACTTTCTCTTGAGTAAGGAGGGATCTTCTAACTCAAAAATTCCTTGCGCAAGATTGGCTCTGTAGTTTCTTCTCTCCTTCTTTTGGAAGTAATATATCAAAACCAATCTATAAATTAATATTTTTAAATATCATAAATAACTATTTATTTAAAAAATAATAATATTTGTGTGGTCCTCACTTTTCAGCATGGGCGAAACCATGCCATTATGCATACTTGATGGATGTGACTTTTGTTTATATTAGTTATATTCTCAAAATATCTTGAAGAGCTTACCATAGTTATAGACAGATAAATATTTATTAAAAGAACATAAATATAATGTAAATTTATTTAATTTAACTAATATCATCAATTTATATAGTTTGAGTGTTTAGAAATAGTAAAATATAGGTTGATTTTAAATTGTTAAGTAATAAATATTAATTATTTTATAAAATAAAATATCAGTTAACTGCTACAATTATTAAATATGTTTTTATAGTCAAACCAAACACAGCTACAATATTTTTGTGTGATTCTAACAAATATTTGTCTGGCCAAACCCTGATCAAAGCTTAACACAATAAATAAGCCTCGAATTGTACCTCATTAATTAACATACAACTCACCATATACAACATTCATTCTTTCATTTCTCTTGTTCAATTTCTAATATCATTTAACTATTAAAGATTGGAGATGAATTGGGAAGTTAGGATTCAGGAAGCTAATGGCTCCACGACATTTCATATTGTCACTTAATTAAGTTCTATTAGCACATTTAAATTACTTGATATATAATTGAATGTATCCCAATAATACACAATTCTAGGATTAAAATGAGCACTTAATTACCATTATCTAATGAATCTCGACCGAGATTAATAGTATCCCATCATGCTTTAATAATACATCTCTTTGTTGCAAAAACAATATTTCTACTTCTATAATATAAGACTCTCTTGATGAATAATGTACGTTTAATAATGGTTAAATAATAAAAGATAATTATTTTCTTTTTAAATCTATCGATATATCTCAGAATTTAAACTCGAGATTTCTTATTGAAAGTATATTAGGCTTTAGCACTATTTGTAAGTCAATATTAATATTTGAGAATAGTGTTTATTCGTCTTATCTTTTAAAAATTAAGAGAAATATTATTCTAAAATTATATTATTTTAATAAATACTTATTAAAAAATTAAAATATCATATTTTTAAAATATAAATTAAATATTTTTTATATTTTTCTCCTAAATTTTTAAAAATAAAACGGACAAATACTGATCCCTTTAACATTTTAGTTTAACTAAAGTTTGGATGCATGCATATGGCTTCTGTAACCTACCCCAACGGCAATGTTGGATCAGCATACTTATTAAAAAATTAAAATATTATATTTTTAAAATATAAATTAAAATTTTTTTTATATATTTTTCTCCTAAATTTTTAAAAATAAAACGGACAAATACTGATCCCTTTAACATTTTAGTTTAACTAAAGTTTGTAAAGATTGGATGCATGCATATGGCTTCTGTAACCTACCCCAACGGCAATGTTGGATCAGCATGCCTAAACCCAATTGGACGGGGGTCCCTAACAAAAAAGGGCATTAGAACCCACCATTTTGTCCCTCACAATCACATGACCGCACAGTTGACATATCACTTTTGCATTAATTTAAAACTACCTTGTCCTAATTTTTTTTTTATTCGCGAATGACATGAGATGGACCTCTAATTATCAAATACTCTTAAAAAAAATTAATTCACTAATTAAGTTTGAGTTTGGGTCTTAAAAGACAAAGATTAGGAAAAATGTACACTAGAAGATTAATTTAGTAAGGATTTTTTTTAAGTGTATTTAAAAAAGCTCATATAATAATAAAAAGAAAAAAAGAAAATTATGAAGTCTTACCATTAGAATATTAA